CTTCCATACAGGGGCAGTTATATTAGGTAAATATTAACCCCTAATCAAATCTAATTAAGATGGAATTAGGCAGTAAAATTTGAATTTTAAAAGTTTGAAATTTGAAATAATCCTGGCTTGTGTTCAGCCTGTGTTGAGCTCGAATTGAGCCCGGGCTGAACCCGAACCCGTGCCCCGCTAATTAAAAGAAACGTGCATCGATTTTCGTGTTGTTCGTGCGAGCGTGGAACCACAACAATATGGGTGTCCAAGTGGGAGTCCTTTCCACCTAAAGTCGACGTTTCGGACGCGTCGGCGCGGTCCGTTTCGTCATCCGGGATCGTCCGAACGAGTTTGCAGACGGACGAGTCAATTTAAGCCAAAATTGTGTGGGGTGCGATGCGTGCGCAAAATGCGGCGTTATCGAGCGTTCGGGTCGCCAAGGGGTTTAGAGGTTGCTCCTATTAATGTAGGAACTCGACTCGAGTTTCATGTGTAGATCCTAATCAACTCAACAGAATGTCGAGGATTTGGGACCGCCCATGTGAAACTTGAAGGAGTGACGAGGTGACTTGAATTTTCTAAATGGTGTGGGTTCCGTACTAGTCCTCTAAGAGAGTCGAACAGGGAAAGCCTAAAGCTAGGAAGCTAGACTAAAGCTAGACCTTAGGCTCTAAAAAGAGAAGTGAAGACCTCATCCGAAAATGAGGTCAACACCCTTACCCTTAATAGCTCTATTCACCCTTCCTCCTACCCATACACATGCCTCATTTTCTCCCTTACGCACATGTGACCAGCCTCCTCCTTCCCTCGTGCACGAGACCACGATAACTTCTCAACTTCAACTTTCCCATATTGTCACCCTCGCCTGTTCAACGGCTCTTTTTTGGGTTAAATTGCAAACTTCGCCGCCCTTGTCGGGCCCTAGTGCATCATCTCCTCAGTTTAACGATCACAGATGTCATTTCCAATCGCCATCAGCTTTGATTGATGCACGGGGAAGCCCAAGGTTGCGCTCATCGACCTTCCTGCCTTCCTTCATATGTGTCGATCGACTAAGTAAGTCGTTCACACTCAGAGTCAGCATCTCCTATGAAGCCTCTCGATCTCGTCTCTACCTCTCTTCATAAATGTTAATTTATAGAATGAATTTGCCCCTTCAAGTTCCCCATAGCTCACTTCATTTCCCTCTCCTCGATTCCCGCAATTTCTCCCTTTTTTTTTTTATCCAGAAGATGAAACAAGGCATTACACATACCACCCAATATATTTGTATTACATATCTATCACTTAATGACTAGGGGTGGGATGGGGTAGGGGGCAGCTCTAGGCGAATTTACATACATACCACCCTATTCTTATGCATTTAGTAATCTAACACCTAAACTTTTTTTTTTTTTTTTTTTTTTTTTTTGGGGAGGGGGGGGGAGGGCCAATTCTTATTTGACATATTTAACACCTAAATTTTGCTTTTTATATTTATACAAATCAAAATCTTTGATATCACATCGAAGATACCATTGTTTTAACTTTTATATGTTATATGTTCATTATTTAATTAATTGAGCTAAAATGAGTCAAACGCAATTGAATGTTTGTATTCGACTCATTTACAATCAAACGCAATTGAATGTTTGTATTCGACTCATTTATAATTCAGGCTCAAAAAATATCTTCTTGTTCGGCTTGTTTGCTTAATAAATGAACGATGAGCTTTTTTAATAACCCTAGTTAAAACTATATATACAACAACCTGAATCAAAATAACTTCCATAAATTTCACACAGACTTCTCAAGCCGGCAATTATGACCTGCAATCCTAAGTTGAGGTGACTTTTTCATAATTTATGTAATATTAAATTTGTTTATAAATTGCTTATTTTCAGACAGAATATCCATAACTACAACAATTAAATATTATGACTGTTGAAACAGTAAACATGGAGGAAGTTCTCATCATACCTACTTCATCTTCAAATGCAGCGCTGTTCAAGTCAGCAACCAACTTACCAATAGAATCTTTAGTTCCATTCTGATGATAAGAATCAAAAGAATTTATTGTTTAAGGAAAATAACATTGGCAGTTGCAAAATCTAAAATTTCACTTGAGCTTGAAGCCAAAACGAAAGAGCTAAAGTAATATGTATTGAAATAAATGGGTTAAAACAATTTAGCTGTCCAAAACCTTTGACAGAAGTTAACAAACACACAAGTGCCTAATTTGTGGGCATTGCACAAACAGTGAGGACACATCAAACAAAAAGCTTGAAGTAGTTATAAAAACCACTAAATCTGAAGAGAAAACAGAAGCCAAATCAATGAAAAACATCCGACTAGATCATACTGAAAACTGAGAATGATATTGCAAATTATTGATATCAAAATGCAAATTAAATCTCATCTGCCCGGCATGCCGGGCTATAATAAACGATAAAAAATGTTAAACTAAAAAGGCAGACTAAGCAAGATGTAATTCAACAATTTCTCGAGTATAATATGCCAAATTATTGAAAAAACAAGTTTTGAAGTCAAAACTAACCAAATAATGGAGCTTTAATAAACCGAAGAAAACCTCAAAACTCAAATTCCATGCATTCCCATACATTAAAGGTTTAGGGAAATTTTAAGGACTGAATTGCTATCCCTATTAAAATACCTGTTTTCATTTGTCATATGTCCATTAAGAATATGATTGTTAAATCAAATTAATAAAGAAATGGCTACTTGGGAAAGAATGAACTTGCCATCACAATACCTGCAATTCATCATAGAAATCAAATATCCTATAATCTTTCTTCTTAGAATTTAACCATATTCAATAGCCACTGATACAATGACAAAAATTAAGGAGGAGCCACTCTACATGATGGAAGAAGATTATAACAGTAGATTATACTTACGCATTTCCAATTGCCTCCAACAAAAAACTGCAGGTAAAATAGGATGGCATCAGAATCAGCAAAGCATAGGAAATGAGCAGAACATAATTCATTTGCAGTAATTAAAAGTATTGAACATTTACAAACATATCACATAATTCTTATACATTTACATGTCTAACACTTGAAACCTAATTTTTACATGCATACCACCTTACCAACGCATGAAAATACGTATTTTACCTTTTAAAAATTAAAATGGTGGTCTTTCTGACGTGATGGTAAAGATTTGGCGGTATAAAGGTAAAAAACAAAGTTTAGATGTTAGATACGAAAATACACTGGAATTGAGTTGTATGTATAGAAATGCCCTTAAAAGTATATCAAAGTTCCAGTTCAATTATTAAGAAGATGACATTCTGCAAAAAAAATTTTTTTTTTTTTTTGACTAAATAAAACAGTATCAGGTCTTCAAGTTAGCATATGATAAAGTAGAAATAATATATTGCCAGATAAGAAATGTCAGGAGGCCATGTATAGTCAGGAGTACAAATGTGAACCCCAAACAAAGTTGAGAAAGCAGACCCCACATTCAGCTAATAGGAAGAAAGGGTGATGAATTCATAGTATACGTGCATCCAAATATAGCCTAGAGCGGATTCAAGTCAAGTTGACCTGCCTCACAGGAAGAGTTCAAATTGTCTAAAATAATTTAATTGAGTATACTTGGCCCAAAGTGAAGCAAAGCCACACGATTTCCAACAGCAATCACCCAAATTCGTACTCAAAGCTACGCAACCATATGTCTAATTAAGGAAAGTCATTCAAATATCCAATCCACTCACTAGATCATAGTAAACCTCAGTGAAGTTGACAAGAAATTTCACTGAATTCAGCTTCTATTAAACAATAAACATAAATGTAAGCTAATTTTTTTAGAGCAAGAATTTGCTAAGCTTTACTTTGTAATTTTATTTTTATTGTTCAAATGTGGTTTTTTTATTGCATTGTCACTTGATAAAATCCTATAAATAGGGGATCAGAAGCCAAGGCAAATTTAATCATTTATTCAAGTTTTATACTTTATGGCAATGGAGCGAAATTCAATAGCTTCTCACTCTAGATTTTTTTTACGTAACTCCTTTTCTATTGTTTCTTAACCATTACTGTCCGAGAGGTTTTAGTGTTGTCGACGAACAAATTTGAATCAAAACATTAAGCTGAGCCGAAATTTGGGGTACAGAGGATATAAGGCTAACGTTGATGATGGTCGTTGATAAAAAATGCCAAATAGCTGTGTCTTGAACATAACAATTTCAACTTCAGTTCTCAAATGAAATTAGACGTAATAATTGCTATGAAAAATTTATTGTCACGAAATAAATAAATTGATGGATTGAGGTACAAATTTATAGATTTTCCTCATTTCTTAGTAATGCATATCAATATGTCAGACTTAACCTTTTCATTCTTTTAGTACAATTACTTGTTACTATTGGCCATACCAACTTGCATAAACGATAGATAACATTGAGTTCATCTTGACAGTGTAGCAAAAAGTTTACTCCAATATGACAGATCATAGCATGTCAGAAATAGCTATTTCGTTAATGGAAAGGAAGAGAATATGAGAAACTTCTATCACACAAAGTAAAAAATTATTTCAAAAGAGGCAATGGATTGCCAAGTTGCTGAGGCATGAGGGACAATGCAGCTACATTAATAGATGTGTGGAGTTAAAGGAAGCACATTATGCAATTAAAAAAAATCATGAGACCTACATTAAATCTGATATTTAGTGTTTAAAGAGGGTTTGGTTGCTCCCGGTTGTTTGAGTTTTATAACAAGTTTTAACTTGAAAACTACCAAAGGCTTTTATAAGGGGCATCTGAAGTTGACATTTTTTAGATGAATGTTTAACAAATTTTATCAAAATTTCTTCAAAACAGATTTTATAAAAACCAGGGGAAATCAAGTTCATTGATTCTTTAGCATGCTTCCTAGTTGCCCCACTACTTCACGCAACTCTCCAACATTGTCACCCCTAACACCTCTCCATCATTATGCCCCTAATGTTCCCTTCTCAATACCGGACATTCTTTCTCAGCAACATGTCTTGCCTTAGTTTCTTTAACGACTTAGATTTAGTAATTTAGTGTATATCAACCCTTTTTAGGAGCATCTCGTAATTTTTTTCATTTATTGTAGATCCAAGGTTGTTGTTGTGTTTTACAATGGTTTGATTAGTTTTCTATGGAGAAATGCATTTTCTTTTGTTCAATCTAACTGAAAAATATAGCTTCAAGTGAAATCAAACAATATTTGTTGATTTGTCTTTAATTTTCTTCAAAAAAAATTTGGCTTTGCATATTATTTATTTATGTTTTGTTAGTTGAGAAGTTCATACAAATAGCTAAATGAATAGATTTGCAACCATGGAACCACATTTTTTTTCTCAAATGTGCTTGTGCTCTAAGAGTTCAAGTCTGATTAAGCCTTATTTGGGTAGGTACAAGCATTGATTTGAGTATATATTATTGACTTTGAAAAAATATTCTCCAAGACAAAAATACATAAAGTCATTATTGTTGAAGAGAGAATTCTGTTGAAATTGTTCATTTATATGTTTCTATTATTTGTGATTATGATGAGCCATGTTGGATTTTGATATTTATTCAATTTATTAAACCCGTCAACTTCAATTCTTAAGAGGGGAATCAGACGAGTTAAGTTAGACTTACAACCCTATCTTATAAGCAAGGCGGCCCGATTAGCCCGCGCAGCATTTTCAAACCAATTAGTTGACCATTCAACACATTGGTTGGAGCACATGCAAGCTTTGAAAATATGTGTAATTGATTTGCTTATATAGACATCTTAAATTATATATAGCTAAAAAGTATCTCAAGTGATGCTCATCAAAGTCTTAAGAGTGGGCTCACATTTCAAAATATCTCATTTAACTTAAAAAAACGATGAACTTCATATATATTTTAAAATTGTTCAAAGCTTGAGTATTTGCAAGAGCATTATGATTTTAGGCTTTAAAAAGAGACTGCCTTTTGTTAACTAGCAAACACATTGCGAATCAGGTGGCAAGAATTTAAAATCAAACTTAGCTTATCAATTCAAGATATTTGAGTTTCAATTTAAGCTTAGCCTTGTGAATTTTGGTACTTCAATTTTAGCCTAAAACCCAAATGTAGTAAGTTATTTTTTAAAGTACAAATATTTAATATTTGGTTCAATTCAAATGATTCAAACCGAAGAGTTTAGATTTCAAAATTCCAAATTTTTTGATTAATTGTAAACTCTAAGCTCTTAATTTTAAAAGATCAACTTTACGTTAATCTAACCATCGAGACTTAAGTTTAAAAGTTCACATTAACTTTGATTTTAAACTTTAAAATTTCAAGTTTGAAAAGCTCAAAAAAATTTTATTATCTTTAAAAGCCCTAAGAGCCTAAAGTTTTAAAACTTTAAAATATTCAATACTTTTAAGCCTAAAGAGCCTAAAAATTTTGAACTCTCAAAATTTTTAACCTATTTTAAAATTCAAATGATTTATCATAAAAATTCGAAAATTCATGGTTAAAGTAGTTTACAAATCCAAAACACCCAAAATTTTGACAGTTTCTATGCGCTAACCCCTGTTTGTGGGCACATGAGAATGTCAATCTTCCCAATTGTCTAAAGAGTCGAGCTGGTCAGTATTGTGAGACACTGCGGTCGGGAAGCAAAAGTATAAAGTTAACTTGCGATCTTAAAAGACGCAATGAGCCTTCAAAGTACCTACTCGAAAGAATAAATATCAAACCAGTATTTCCCAAACGGTACTTTGTTTTCCCTGAACGAAACTTAATTCCCTACAGACGGGTGCTCGTTTTTTCACAAATGGGTGTTTTAAAAAAATCCCCATTTTAAAAAGGTTTTCCAAACAAGTTTGCGTTTTTCCCCAAACGGTAATTAAATTCCACACGAACAGGTACTCACGCTTCCTTAGGTGGATATTTTCAAAAAAATTGCCCCATTTTTGCCCAAAAAATACCTTTCGAGCCTCCACATCGTTGACAGCGATGATGTCGACACAATAATAAGAAATAACAATACATTACAGACATTCTTCTTTTCTTGTTATTTATATATACAACACTAATAACATAATAACATAAAAGAAAATGCATAGTAAATAGTGAAATGGCTCAGCTAGGTTTAAAATGGGCTCGGGTAGGGTGCCTTGGGTTGTACTTGAATAAGAAGGCTCGGTTCGATAATGGGCTTTAGGTAGAAGGGATCGGGTTTGGCAACAAGAAGGGGGCCAGGGGGAGTTCAGCTGCAGAGGAGATTGGATCGTAGACAAGGCTTCAGGCGATTTGCAAGGGGAGGAACGGTAGGGACGTACAGCGTCGGTGCGAGATGAGGAGGAGCGGCTACTGGGTCACGCGAATAGTGGACGACGGCAAGGTTTCCAACAATGGAGAAGGTAAGGATCATGGCGGAGATGGTAAGGTCACGACTGTCGTTCGGTGGGTTGCAGCACATGGAGGAACTATGTCTGCGAGGTCTTCCAGCATTTGGTTTGCATGAATAAGAGAGGAGGAAGGAAATTTAGGAGGTGCTCAGGTAAGACAGGTTGGGGCTTAGTTGTCACAATGCGGAAAAGGTGGCATGTGATTATCGCGTGCGGCGTGGAGCTTCCCAGCAAGAGATGGGCGACCTTTGCGACAGGGAAAATAACGATGTTGGCAGTTTGGTCTTGTGAACAGGGGAACGACGACAGAGCTCTGTGCAAGGGAGGAAACATACAAACTAGGGAAAAGCAAGCAACTTACGATTTTGTTGCACGAGCTTTGCACAGGAGAAGATTAACGAGAAGGAGGATTGATTGCAAGAGAAGAACACTTCGCTCTGTTGCGGCCAAACCGACTGGACAAACGAGAACCTTTAGTGCAGAGCTTCGGGCTGCGATTTTCAACATACAGAACAAAATGGAGAACGACAGAGAGATCGGGCAAATGAGCAAGTTACAGGAGCCCTTTACTTCGAAC